AGTACTACAAAAGTACATCCTTCCTTAGTCACATATAGGAAATTATCAATATGTATATGTATGTATAATTGTTTTTACTTTCTCTCTGCACAAAACAATCCAAACAAACGCAAAGCAAACAAAAAGAAATTAACAAATAGCCCATGTTCTACAGTAAACGGCCAAATACAACCATTATCAATGTAAAACGTTGTAAACTTAATAACATACGTATAAAAGTGTATCTGTTATATATATTTTTTCTTTCATTGCACAAGACAAGCTGTCATTGGTGGAAAGAAAAGCATACAACATCCCACAAACACACACACACACACAATGGAGTAGCATATATAGGATAAAAACAAACAAAGTAAAAACAATAACAATAACATTAACATTAACAAAGGAAAAAGATAATCCCAACAGGTGGAAGATTAGTTAGACTGTAGGGATGTATGCAAAATAGAAAAAGAAAACAAAGGATGACCTGAGTCACACCACCACACCACAATCAGCACACAAGAATACAGGCCAGTGTAACCACAATCAGTAGTGGTACACGCACCCACACAGAACTGCTGATACTGCTGCTGCTGTCTGCATCACCCTTCTTGTTGTTTGTGAGTTCAGGAGGAAGTGTTGTTGTTGTTGTTGTGGTGGTGGTGGTGGTGGTTGATTCCTCATCATTACTGGTTGCATTGTGAGTGTCAGAATCGGTGTGCACTCCATTATTTGTCTCACCGTTACCGTTCTTGGATTGAGAGTCCTCTGAAGAGGGTGTCTGCTCCTCCATTTCTGGAGAGTTGCTTTCTGGAGCATCTGTATTACTTGTACTGGGTTTAGTAGAAGAACTGGCTGGGGTATCATTTTGAGTTCCCTCCTTCTGTCCGTCTCCGTTGTTCTGCGGGCCTCCACCTTGAACGTTTTCTCTCTGATCACTGTTATCCTGTGTCTCCGTTCTACCTTCGGGATTCGGCTTAGATAATGTTCCATCAACACTTCTCGGTTCTGCAGGATGAGGTGCCGTCGGTCCAGCCGTCGGTGAAGATGAAAGCCCGGAAGTACTTGAAGTGACTTTAGATAATTGTATTTGCAGATCAGTACTTTTCTCGTTTTCTGCTCGAGGTTTATTTTCAATCGCCATGTCACCCCGAATACCTTCCTTAGTATTTTGTTTATTATTCGTTTCATCTGACTTCTTGTACCCCGCAGGACCTTTCACATCAACATCTGGTGCTTTCAGTCCAGTATCACCTTTGGGCATGGTATCAGGTTCCTTAGGACCATCCCTTCCCACAAGGCCAGTCGCTCCTTCGATTCCTTTTCTTTCTCTATCCTCACCCTCCTGAAGTTCCTCATCCTCATCCATTATGAAATCGACCAGCGCAGGAATAGCATGACTAACAAGAGAAGGAACACCAACAATTGAAGTTTTAATAAGGGCATCAGAAGCTTTAGGACCATCAGCCCATACTAACCCACAAGCACAACACAGTGTAAGAGTTAGTAAACAGAGCAGGTAACACCTCACCATTACAGCCTTTGTCATTGTGGCTGATTATTTCACTAGACTGATAAAAGAAAAAGAAACAGAATGAAATAAGTGAGAAAAAAACAAACATACAGAAGTACAACAAATACTCACAGTGGAAAGGAGAGAGAAAGAAGCAGCAACTGCACAGTAAAGCACAAGAAAAGAAATATCATGATTGTATTATAATAATATGTACCCCTTAATAGAAAAGAAAAGACCCCACAATACCCAAATAAGAGAGAGAGCCAAACACACACACAATACCCCATGGCTGTAGTTTATGTATATTAAATTACTGCACACACACATCTGTGTGTACTAGCAAGAGATGTATACCGTCAGTGAGCAGAACAGCCCAGTTTTCTGCAAACACACACAACGGGAAAAGCAAGTAATGGAATTATTAGGAAAAGAACACACACATATAAAAGTAAAAGAAAAGATATTCGAATTAAAAGAGAAAGCTGATAAACAGATTATTAGTTTATTCCCCCATGGGGGATATAAGCAAATATGATTATAATAGGAAAACCATTATTAATTTTTGCCCTCAGATGAGTTCCATCGTTCAGTACACGGTAACGGAGAACAACACAGCCACAATCATGAGCGATGCTGCAGTGCGTATCCACACAGGACTGACACTGCTGTCAACAATGGGTTTGTTCTTCTGTACAGTGGAGACGATGTTGCTGTTGATCTCTGCGTTAGGTGCAGGAGATGGAGTGGTGGTTGGTGCATCAGTGACATTGCTCTCGGGGCTCTGTGGAGTAGTGGTATTTGTTTCTTGTGAGTCTGCGCCAGAAGTACTGTTACCTGTATTCGACTCTTCGTTGTTACTTTGTGGTGCTGCAGCAGAGTCCTGAGGTGGGCTTTGCGTTGGTTTTGCACCTGTTCCTGTTGTGCTTTCAGCATTACCAGCCTCTTGTGGTGGATTTACAGAAGAAACAACGTCAGTGGTAGATCCTTCTCTTTCAGAGGTTTCTCTAGGAGAATCTGCTGCTGGTGGTTGGCTTCCGTGCCCTGGTTCAACCCTGGTTGATTCTCGTCCAAGGTCTGCTGTCGGATGTGCCAGAGTGTCAGTGGGGTTGGGTTGGATGGGAGGCTTCGGCTTAAATTCGTCCCATTCCGCACAGTTTATTCCTTCAACTGTATGATTAGGGGCTTTCTTACATTTTGTGTAATTTGCTTGTTTCTCTCTTATAGCTGGTGTAATAGCAGGAAACTGATGCCAACTAATATCAGCAGCTTCATGCAACTTATTAAGTTTACCCTCATTGGCTGCCACTCCAACAGTCATGGTATACCCGCAGGTGCAGCACAGCACAACGGCCAACACACACATCACACGGCCCATCATCATCATCATGAGAGAAACGATAGTTTGGTTTGCGTAAAAACACTGATCTAGAAAGAAAAGACAATCAAAAAGTAAAAAAAGAATATAAATGAAGTATCAAACATGTTAGGACATACAAACATCGATTACCACAAAAGAGACTCACATCGTGAAAAGTAAAACCTACCAGTTAAAGAATGCAATACAGCGCACAATAACCTCAGTAAGAGTAAAAACAAAAAAAAAGCCCACACTCATAAATACCTCAAAAAAGGCTGACCCACCCAGGAAAATAATCAAGCAAACAAACAGATATTAACAATTAGCCCAATTTACACAGTAAACATAGAAATACACGCCAACTATGGGTGTAACTCTACATATGTGTATATATACGCAATTATAAATATAAATTCATCTGTTATTATTATTTCTTTTTCCCACTGCAAAAAACAGTTCATCATTATCATCACAGTGCAAGCCCAGGCACACACAAAGAGAGTCTCCAAGAACACACACACACAATGGAGTAGCAATAATAATAATTATAGGATAAACACAGAGAGATCAAAAACACATCAAACACATTAACAATAAAAAACAAAAAGGAAGAAAATCCCAACAGATGGTAGATTAGTTAGAATGTAGGGATACATACAAAAAAAGGAAAACAAACGATGACCTGAGTCACACCACCACACCATTACAATCAGCACACAAGAATACAGGCCAGTGTAACCACAATCAGTAGTGGCACACGCACCCACACAGAACTGCTAATACTGCTGCTGCTGTCTGCATCACCCTTCTTGTTGTTTGTGAGTTCAGGAGGAAGTGTTGTTGTTGTTGTGGTGGTGGTGGTGGTTGAATCAAGATTGACATTCCGCTGTGAACCTTCTGTTCCAGTTGTACCTGCAGCTGTAGTAGTCTGATTACTGGTATTACTGTCACCACCTTCAGTGGTACTTTCCGATTGAGTTTGTGTGTTGGTATTATTGGAACCACCGTCTCCAGATGATGTTGTGCCTTCAGTTGGTGCTGCTGCCTCTCCTTCTGATGTGGATGACGTATTCCCTGGGCCTCCACTTCCTGCTGGTACACTGATACCACCTGTGCTCACACGATTTTGGTTTGCTTGCACATCAGAATGAGCAACGTTATGTGATCCATCTTCTGCACTTTCCTGACCTTCACTTTGATGTCGTTCTTCTTGTTGTGCTGGTTGTTGTTGTCCAGGAGGAGGAGGAGGAGGAGGAGGATGAAGACAAGTACCTTCAGCCGTATCAGAATTGCACTCCGAAGAACCATCAACCCCACGTCCAAGTTCCACAGCAGCAGAAGTACAATTACTAGAAGAATCAGAAGCACCAGGAATGCACTTAGGAGTATCCGGTTTAAGTCCAGATGTTGTCTGATGTTCAAGTTTAGCTTCCTTACATTCAGGATCATCATGAGTAGGACCTTTAGTGCACTGAGGAAGAATCTTTGTCTCACTCTCCGTATCAGGGACTTGGTCGGAAAGATCGGCGGCAGGCACTTCTTCAGCGAGGACGTACACACACGCACATGAGAGCAGGAGAGCGAGGATACACAGCACGTAGCGCATCATTACCATTACAATACTTCTTGCAGTAGTCTTACTTCAATCATTTACAGAAAAAGAAAAACAGATAGAAAAACCAGAAACAAATAGAATCAATGAAAAAAACACAAGATGAGAACACACACACCAAATCAAACAACACTCAATAATTACAACAGAAGCACACACATGCAAAAAAAAGGTGCAACCATGACTCAGAAAGTACCCAAATCGAAGTAAAAACGCATACAATACCCAATAACAAACAGATAATCCCAATTAACCCCTCAAAAGAAAAAAAAAAAGAAATTAAAGAGAACGACCATCAGAAGAGTAAAGCACAGAAATACATCAAAATGCCTCTTCCTGTAGGACCAAGCACAATTATAAATATATACTTATGAATTCCTTATTATTTTTTCTCACTGCACAAAACACTCCAACACACAACAATGCAGGAGAAAGTACACAGCACCCAAGCAAAGAAAGCGAAAAACACACAAATTAAGAGCAGAACGAACTGCACAAAAATAACTCATAGACCACTGAGTATGCTGGTCTGTTCAAGCAATTTCGAATACAAATTGTATTAACTACTATTTGTTCCTTGCTCTGCATCAAGCAGACTACCAAAAACCGTGCAGGGCAAAGCACAGTATGACCCACCAAACCACAAGCAAACAAACAAAGAAACACATATTAACCATTAGCCCAATTTACCCAGTAAACACAGAAATATACACCAACTATGGGTGTAAGTTTATATGTGTATATACGCAATTATAAATATAAATTCATCTGCTATTATTATTTCTTTTCTTTTCACTGCAAAAAACCGTTCATTATAATTATTATCACAGTGCAAGCCCAGGCACACACATAGAGAGTAAAAAAAAAACACACAATACCCCACGGCTCTAGTTTATGTATATTAAATGACTGCACACACACATATCTGTGTGTACTAGCAACAGATGTATACCGTCAGTGAGCAGAACAGCCCAGTTTTCTGCAAACACACACAACGGAAAAAGCAAGTAATGAAATTATTAGGAAAAAGAACACACACGCACAAAAGTAAAAGAAAAGATATTCGAATTAAAAGAGAAAGCTGGTAAACAGATTATTAATTTATTCACCCATGGGGGATATACGCAATTATGATTATGTTAGTTTAACCATTATTATTATTCTCAGATGAGTCACACCGTTCAGTACACGGTAGCGGAGAAGAATACAGCCACAATCAGCAGCGGTGCTGCAGTGCGCATCCACACAGGACTGACACTGCTGTCAACATTGGCCTTCTTATGCACTGTGGAAGCAATAGTGTTGCTGCTGATCTCTGCGTTGGGTAAAGGAGATGGAGTACTTGGTGGTGCTGTGGTAGTATTCTCGGAGCTCGGCGGAGTAGTGGAATTGGTTTCTGGTGAGTCTGGTACGGCAGTCGTATCAACAGTTGCAGAAGGTTGCTGGTTAAGATTAGAGTTGACTGGTGTACTGTTATCATCTGTGCTGCTCGATGCTCCTTGATCATCTTGTGATGCTGCAGATGAACCTTGAGATTGGTTTTTTGTTGTAGTGACACCATCTTTTGCTTCTGGTATGGCTGCCGTTTCGCTCGGTCCTTTTCCAGGACTTGCGCGCTCCACGTGAGCCGCTTGCGGTTCACCACTCCCTACAACAACACCTCCATTACCAGAGTGACCTCCAGACCCACTTGCTCCACCAGAGTGATGTGCTTCCTCTTGATTTGTCGATTGATTCCTTACACCGGTAGTCGTCTCAGGTACATTCCAATACCAAGAATCCCACTTAACCTCTTTAGTTCTTGTGGGAAAATCATCCCATTCCGCATGACCCCTATCAGGTGAAACATAACCTCCGCTCTTCTCAGGCGGTTTCTCTGCAGGATCAGCAGCAGCCGTCATGGTATACCCGCAGGCACAGCACAGCACAACGGCCAACACACACATCACACGGCCCATCATCATCATGAGAGTAGGAAAAGTTTGGTTTAAGTAAAAACACTGATCTAGAAAGAAAGATAACCAAAAAGTAAAGAAAGAAAATGAAATGAAGTATCAAACATGTTAGGACACACAAATCGATTACCACTATGGAAGCTCACATCAAAAAAATAAAAACCTACCAGTTAAAGAGTGCAATAAAGCGCAATAACCTCAGTAAGAGTAAAAACAAAAAAAAAGCCCAGACTCATAAATATCTCAAAAAAATCTGAACCACCCAGCAAAATCATCAAGCAAATAAAAAGAGATTAACCATTAGCCCAATTTACACAGTAAACATAGAAATATACACCAACTATGGGTGCAAGTCTATATATGTATATATACGCAATTATAAATATAAATTTATCTGTTATTATTATTTTCTTTTTCCCACTATAAAAAGCATTTCATCATTATCATAGTGCAAGCCCAGGTGCACACACACACAGAGTCTCCAAGAACACACACACACAATGGAGTAGTAGCAATAATAATTATTATAGGATAAACATAGAGAGTAAAAACACACACAAAACACAATAACATTAAGAAACAAAAAAAGAAGAATAGCCCAACAGGTAGAAGATTAGTTAAACTGTAGGCATTGCATGCAAAAGAAAAGAAAAGAAAACAAAGGATGACCTGAGTCACACCACACAATCAGCACACAAGAATACAGGCCAGTGTAACCACAATCAGTAGTGGTACACGCACCCACACAGAACTGCTGATACTGCTGCTGCTGTCTGCATCACCCTTCTTGTTGTTTACAGTCTCAGGAGGAAGTGTTGTTGTTGTTGTTGTGGTGGTGGTGGTGGTGGATGTTTCTGTATTTCCCACATCAGTGCTTTGGGTGCTTGTGGACTCAGTTCCAGCAGATGTACTGCCATTTTCTGTTGAAGTGTCAGGTCCACTGGTACTCTCTGTGACTGTAGTGTTGGAAGAAGAAGGCTGTTGTGATGCACCGTCAGCCGTTGTTGCACTTCCAACTGCTTCACCTTTGTCGCTGCTTTCAGCGGGATCTTCAACTGAAGTCTGACCACCAGCTGCCTCAGCAGTTGCAGCAGCAGCGTGATCAGCTTCGCGTTGATCAGGTTTCGTAGCTTGACTTGCTACCGGAATAGAAATGGTTGAAGCACCATTACCAACTGCAGGAAGAGCACCAGTACCTTCAGCACCAGGACCACCAGCAGCGCCAACAGTACCAGTAGGACCGGATTTGCCTTTAGGAATTTCTTCCTTTGGTGAAGTTGGCGCTGGTTCCTTTGTTGTTGTGCAACGAGCAAGAGCATCAGGAAGACAATTTTCTTGGTGTTCATTTCCCTCGGTAGTACAAGTCTTCTTAGCAGCTTCCGCACAATCAGTGTGAGGATCTTCAGCTCTATTAGGAGCAGGAGGACACTGCACATCAGGAGAACAAGAACCAGTAGGACCAGCAGGACCTGTCTCACCCCTATCATGTAGTCTGTCGGCACTAGTAACCTCTTCAGTGGCCACACACACAGAAGCAATGCTTAGCAGCAAAGTCAGTAAATACAACACACGGTATAACATCATCATCATAAAAAAGTATTTCTCCTCTGTTTAAATCAGTTAACTACAAAGAGAAGAAAACAAAAGCAACAAAATGGAGAACTCACAAAGAGAAAAAAGAAAAAAAACAAACAGCAGTAAAAAAACAAACAACACAAACTATACGAAATCCATTAACGCTGCACCATATTAAATGTCCCACAGAAAGCAATAACGAAAACAAAAAAAAAACAATTGTAGGCAGGACCAAGGACTCACCAAACACAGAACTCCACAGAACAATGGGTATGCTTGACATAATATGCAATTATGAAAATATATATTCCTATTATTATGTCCGTTTCACCCTTGAAAGGAGAAAACATTAAAACGGTACAGACCAAAGAACACAACGCCCCAGCAAACCATAAGCAAAGAAACAGATATTAACCATTGAGCCCAACTTATCCAGTAAACATAGAAATACACCACCTATGGGTGTAAGTCTATATGTGTGTATATATAAGCAATTATAAATATAAATATTCATCTGTTATTATTATTTCCTTTTCCCACTACCAAAAAGCAGTTCATCATCATCATTATCACAGTGCAAGCCCAGGCACACAAAGAGAGTCTCCAAGAACACACACACAATGGAGTGGCAATAATAATTATTATAGGATAAACACACAAAACACATTAACATTAAGAAACAAAAAAAAGAAGAATATAATCCTAACACGTGGAAGATTAGTTAGACTGTAAGGATGCATGCAAAAAGAAAAAAAGAAAACAAAGGATGACCTGAGTCACCCCATCACCATTACAATCAACACACAAGAATACAGGCCAGTGTAACCACAATCAGTAGAGACGCACTCAGCCACACAGAAGTGACGCTGGCTGCATTCTTCCCTTCGGTCTTCGCTGCCGCAGCTCCACCATTTTCACCAGAAATCGCAATGCCAGCTTCACGAAGCGCCTTCTCATTATCAGCAGCAATACGAGTCGCTTCAGGTGGAGTACGAATACTACCAAGCTGAGCATTAAACTTGGCTTCAACGTCAGCAGTCTTTTTCTTAATCTCATCAACATGT